GAGAAAAGCCAGGGTTGGCACTTTCTTTGAGCAAAAGACAGTTTGGGGAAGAAGGAAACAGGCACCAAGAAACAGAGCAACAGGCACCCCTCTACAAGTAAAAACAATCGGTACTAATTTTATTAGCATGAATTCCCATTAACTTAATTAGCATTGGTATGCTAAACATCAGAGATACACCAAACAGCTGTATGCTATTTTTAAAAATTCAAACAAAATATTTGTGCTTAAGAAATAAAGCACTTGGGAGTAATTCTTCAATTTACAACTACACCCGCCTGTTGGATTCTCTGGACTTGGTACTGCCAGGGAACCACGAAAAAGCAGCACAGTGCTCAAGGCTTTGACGCAGCAAAGCTGGGACTAGGCGTGGCAGCAGACTTACAAAGTTACACAGAGTCAGTAATTTGGTCTAAAACTAATAAGTAACTTTTATGAAAGGAAATGCATACTGCACAGTGCAGGTAAGAGATAGGGATAGATTACCTATTCTAGCTAACTAAATGGTATTGGATGCTGGATGGCAGCAGACTTACAAAGTTACACAGAGTCAGTAATTTGGTCTAAAACTAATAAGTAACTTTTATTAAAGGAAATACATACTGCAGAGTGCAGGTAAGAGATAGGGATAGATTACCTATTCTAGCTAACTAAATGGTATTGGATGCTGGATGTATGTCCAGCCTCCATGGTACAACATGGAGAGATCATGCACCTTCTTCTTCCTTTTTTTTTTTTGCATGCAAGAGAGAAGTGTGAGAGCAGAAAGAGATGAAACTGTAGCATTCTGCTTCAAAGGAAAGGATCAGATAGCAGAAACAAAAGGATGCTCTATGTGTCCTGACCTCTTTATCTGTCTAAACACCTTGGTGCCGTCTCTCAAGTCTGAAACAGGAGACAGTAACAAAGTCCTCCAATTCCAACACACCCAACTCCTTCTACTTTGGATTACTACAACAAAATTGGAGGACATGCATGCTTTGTAGCAACCCAGAGTGCTGTATTCCAGTAGATTTGAATTATGTCCAAGACAAAGTAGTTTGTGGTGTTGCAGGATAAAATTATGCAAACTAGACGAGTAGGCCTTCACAGGAATTGCATGCATCGCCATGGAGTTATTTTCAAAATATATCCCCAAGGACTAGATATACGTAACAGAAAGACAGACCAAAATCCTGATTACAGTTAGTTTGGAAAGAAGCAGACCGTTTGCAGCATGGCTTCATTCTACAACCTTTGGGGAGTGGATGACAAAACCTTGGCCAGAGAAGGAATGGTGGATCTCGTTCCTCTTAAGTGGAGAGGGTTAGCATCTTTAATGAAAATGAGACCCGCCACTATGGCCTCCTGTACTGGGAAGAAAGGAGAAAGTTTGGATGAAGTTTGTCTGTTGAAATTTGCCTCTTAAAAAATTACAACCAAACCGCACTCTTTGCAGCAAGGGGCAGTGTTGGAGATCGATCTATTGCCACATTTTTGTTGCATCTTTATGGTCCAGTCACATGGAGTGCTTCATAGCCTGAACAGGGATTTGAACACAGGACTCCTAGGCCTAATCCAAAATTAGTTGCAATATCATATAGTTAGGGCAGCTCTCCTAAGTGATGTGAGGTGTAGTGATTAGTGTTGGACTAGGGCTGGAAGTGCAATAAAATTTACTTGGGGGAGGGGGTTGCTGCTGTCATTTTCTCTCAGCCTGTCTTACCTCATAGGACTGCTGTGAAAGGGAGAGCTGAGTACCCCCCACCCTGAACTCCTTGCAGGAAGGGTGGGATAAGAAGAGAATAAAAGGCATTCTTTTATTAAAATGCTTATATACTACCATCTTTTCAGCTGACTATGGACCCCCCTCCCCTTGCAAATGGGCAGATCTTGCTTGTTGCTGCCAGGCCTCATTTCTGTTAAGCAAATCCCAGGTATATGGACAGTGAGAGCCACACGCTGATAGGTCTCACATGCAATATCATTACAAAACATTTTGTTATGGATGTTCACTTATTTCCTCTAAAATGTATAGTCTAGAGACTCCAGAGAAACTAGGCCATACAAAGCAGTGACTTATGCATACTCAAGGAACTCCTGAGATATGTGAAAATGTATTACATCGTATTCTTGATGCTTGAAGAGCAACAGTGGGAGGGCTTCTGGAGTTCTGGCCCTGCTGGTGGACCTCCTAATGGCACCTGGGTTTTGGACACTGTGTGATATAGTGTGTGGGACTGGATGGGCCACTGGCCTGATCCAACTTGGCTTCTCTTATATGCTTATGATTCCCCACATCCCCCTCCCCCAAAGTAGTACGATAAGGACTACTCATTGCTCTGTAGTAGGCAGGAAATATTGAAGGCAGTTATTTCTTTCTTATAAAAGAAAAGGCCTGCTCAACCACTGAACTTAACATCCTGACAAGCATAATATACATACCCTATCCAACCCCCAAGTCTTCAGCACGAGGAAAGTTCAATACACATAAACCTCTCCTTGCAGGTCTTTGACTGTTAGAGGAGTTTTCCGTTCACATAGCCCCAAATTTGAGCTATAAGTACCATGGAACAATTACTGTGCTAGACCCTGGAGGTTCAGGCTAGGTGAGCAGGAATCCCCGGAATGTCCAGTCATTTGCCACAAGCCCTGCATCAGCAACTTAGTGGCCTTCTTATGTTTTTGAGGAATCTAATATGGTAATTCAGTGTTTTGACTCATTCTAGAACACAAATGGACTCTGTCCCTCCCCCTCAAGACACATGTCTGGCTAAATTCTGTCCTTAGTTTTATAAACCAAAAAAGCTGTGACAAGAGACACAAGGCTTAACTCATTCTGGAGGACTTTTAGCGCTCAAGGCTTATCAGCTAGCCCTATACTTTTAATTTCACAACTGTACAAGAAGCGGAGCCTTTAAGGATCGCTGGGATCATGCAATGTGTCATGTATGCTGCACGGGGACCTCAATTCATTCCTGTGCAGGATTCCCATAATTTAGATGTAAGATATAAACTGCCGCAAATGTTCAGAGGGGCAGAAAGAAACAAGCCAAAATAGGACAACAGTAAGTTAAGACTGAACATAGCCTTCTTAGGGTCACCCCCCAATTTATGGGATTATATCTACAGCCCAATCCAGACTGGAATGAGAAGCAATGCAAGATTATCTGGACCAAATGCAAAGCTGTTTGAAAACACATTGCTTGATGGGCTTTCCCCCCAGAATATACATCACAGATTCGTTGTGGGGAAGCACCACCATGCCCTGTTTCACTGTATCATGCCGTGTATCACTGAAAAGATTTTTAAAAAGAGACTGCCTCTGTTTAAAAACAACCATTTTTGTGCCAAGGCCTGGGAGATTCCAGGTTTGAATCCCTGCTCTTCCGTGGAAGCTTGCTGGGTGTCCCTGGGCCACTCACACTCTCAGCGTGACCTGCCTCACCGGGTGGTTGTTAGAATACAGCAGAGGAGAATGATGGAAGCCGCGTGGGCGCCCTCATTGGGGGAAAAGGTGGGAGGAAAATAAATAAGCAGAAATAGGACAGGAGCTTATTACAGGGAAATTAACACACCATTCCGAAACCAAGATTTAATCAGCGAACTTTTAGTTTAATTGATCTACATCATCTAAAGAACAACGTTTTTTTAAAAGCCCAAAAGAACGGCACAAAAATCCATTTTACAGCTAGATGACCAGAAAGGAAAAAGGAATAAAAATATACAAAACAGCAGTTAAGGGCACACTTAATCAAAACAATGGAGGCCAAGGCTTCTTAAAAACAGAAGACCAATCCCGGCTAGGGAATGCTGAGTGCAACCTGGCTATAAAGCGTGCACAGGTAGACAACAAAAACCTGCCTATTTTAAGCTGCTGTTTTGAATATATGGACACAACTTTAAAGCTATCCTTCTAGTAAGGATTTTTTTGTTGTTTTTTCTTGTTTGTCGAGAAAATTTAGTCCAAACTGTTTAAATTCAAAGTTTTAAAAAAGTGGTGGTGGTGGTGGGGATAATATAAAATCCAGATGGCTATTTCATAAATCCAGCTTTAGTCTGTGGTTGACCTTCGGTACCAAAACCGAGCTCTGTAGTCATCACTGCATGTCATGAAACCAGGATTGGTGGGAGAGTGGACGATGCAGCGAACTATACTGTTATGTCCCAAGGAAAGGAGATTCCTCCGTTCAGCTGTTCTTGAGTCCCAGCAACACAGGCTGATGGTCCTTTCGTCGGGAAGAAGCACGTAGTCTTCTGTGTGGTTGAAGACTGCCTGGGTCCTATGAACTTGACGTCCACTTAAGCCAGCTCCTGCAGATGCAGCAACGTACATAACACTGTTAACACAACTATAAAACAAACTCATCAGTCTCAATGCTTATCGTATCCTAGTGAACCTAAGTAGCAGATTCCAATCCTCTACAATAAAGTCAGCCAAATAAGTTTCCTCTAACCATCAGCAGTATGCTCACTGGATAAAGTCAGCAAGGACATCCCTTAGGAGGAAAGCCTTCCCGACTTTTCTAAAAGACTGCACAGATCAGCTCAGACAAAAAGTTATCTACAGGTCAGGGTCCACAGAAGGTACTCTGTTCCAAGCAAATGGTACCTCACAGAATGTAGGTAGGCTGGCTTCTTAAGGTGCACAGGACCCACACCATTTAGGACTTCAAAAGGTCCACACCAATATTTCAAATTAGAACCTAGAAGCTAATAGATAGCTAGTGCAGTTGCTCAATACTCAGTGTCTCTACTCTAGTCCTCCACAATTTACAGGCTGCTGCATGAAGTAAATGAAGTTTCTGAAAGCTGCTGAAGGGGCAGCCCAAGTACACTATAATCAACCCCACAGGTTACACAATTATGAATGCTAGACCATCCATTTCCATTATTAGAGAGCAGCTGATGGACCAGATATGAGATTCCATGCCGTCTTGGCCTCAACAGTCACCTAATTTGGCCAGGTTCAAGGACCCCCCCCCCAAACTGCACAGGGTTTAAAGGAGGTCAAACCCAATAAACAATGGGTGCATTTCCTTTTTCCATAACACAGGGATCTGCAATCACTATCATTTTCATCTTATTTGGACGCAATATTCAGACTCCCTTTATCCAATGAATCCCATTGTCTCGATATACTGAAGTTCCTTGATTCTACAGACAACAAAATTAAAGTTGGGTAAAATCAACATACTGTTGACACCTCACTCCATTCACTACAGATGATCTCTCAACAGCCTCATACGTAGAAAAAAGCAAGACAGAATGAAAACTGGGTCGTCTATAATTCACCTCCCATAGCATTGGCCTGCATCTGTCAATCTTCAAAATTTCTGGCCACAAGCAAATGAGCCAGACAGGGCCATTTACATCTACCCAGTTCCACACAGAATCCAACAAGATTTGACAGGTATTCTTAAAGGCTGCTGAGAGATCTAATAGGATCGGCACAAATTGCCCACTAGGGCTATGAAGGCAGTCTTGGTCCTGTACCCAGGCTGGAAGCGAGACAGAAAAGTGAAAGTAATTTGTTCCATGTCTATCCTAGAAAGCCAAGAGTTATGATGCAACTGTCTGTTTAATCATCATCATCCATAAAAAGGCAAACGATGTAAGAATGGCCAGTTAAGTGTCAAGGCTGGCAATATCAATCAAGAAGTTTTTTTTTAAAAGTCTTGTTTTGGAATTGAGTTTAAAGGAATCTGAGTTTCCTTACTTCGTAATGAAGTTCTTACAACAGATTGACAACTTTCTGTCCATCCCCTGAAACCTTAATGGCCACTTGATTTTAAGACATTCACAGGTATCCAGTGCTTGTCTCTAAAAGCGCCACCTGCTGATTTCTGCAGGTCAAGCTACTGTTAAAGACACAAGGATAGGGTTGTTGTTGTTTTTAAATCCCTGGTCAGCTGACAGTTCTATTTAACAATTTCCATTAGCAGCAGCCTCTCCCATCTGGTTTTCACCAGCCATTATGGATAAGGACCTAGAGTATATAGTGTTCCACAAGCTTCATACTATATCCTGCAAGACTGACAGATCAGCAGAAACCAATGCAAGTGATTGGGATCAAAACGGTTGTGCAAAAGGTGTCACAGCAGGGTGATTCAGTCTTGGGGTGGGAGAGCACAGCACCCATTATGACAATGAGAGCAGTTCTGTGGAAAGATGCTACACAACTACAATGATGGCAGAGAAATGCCTTCTTTGCCACCACCATTGTCCTTCTAATGGCCTCTCTGCCAAGCTGTCAGATTTGCCGCAAGTCTTTTGCCACCTGTACTGATGTTATTGTATGTTTGGTGCTCATATGCAAGGGAGGCCCGATACAAAGGGAGAGAACAAGGATACCAATAAACTACTGTGTCAATAGTCAAGGTCAGCCTCTCATTCCAGACACTGACAAGGTAATTGACAGAGCAGCCACTAGTAACTATCAGCTATTTAGATTCATATATCTCTGAAGGAAGACCATTCCTAACTAGCTTACCGACCTTGTGAAAGCACTGTCTTTCATAGGTAGTGATGTACCCATAACAACAACAAAAAGTGCCACACAATCCTGCCTTCAACCCCAAAACAAGAAATTTGGGAACAACAGTACCTCCCAGATTGTCCTTTCTATGACCATTAAAAAGGGATGATTGAAATGGGAGGGGCGAAATGGGGCTGTTATTGTTGACATAGCTGACAGAAGAGGAATCAGGGGTACTGCTAAGATTAATTGATTCATTCCAGGGTATAACGTTTACACTGAACATCGCCCCACCTACAAATTCAGTTCTTGAAAATATATTGATGACATTATATCCCTGGTTTATTATACATGAAGCTATATAAATATTCAAAATTATTTTGCTCACAAACAATACTGTAGGCCAAACCTCAATGACTGTAAAAGTTACAGAATATTGGGGCAGGGGGAATAGATTTACATTAACAGGAAAGGCATTCTAAAAATGAAGGAGAAACTGAAAAATTAAAAGGAAGTCAGACAGATGATAGTGACACATTTGGAAAGAAAGCCAAGAATCCCCCTAAGAGGGGTGTGTATAGCTATACTTAAAAGCAATACAATACAAGAACTCGTGGGGACTCAATGAAATTGCTGAGCAGTCGGGATAGAACGGATAAAAGGAAGTACTTCTTCACCCTAAGAGTGATTAACACATGGAATTCACTGCCACAGGAGGTGGTGGTGGCGACAAGCTTGGACGGCTTCAAGAGGGAATTAGATAAATATATGGAGCAGAGGTCCATCAGTGGCTATTATCCACAAGGTATAGAAAGGAACTCTCAGTCTGGGGCAAGTGACACACTTTATTCTTGGTGCTTGGGGGGGGGGGACAACGACAGTGGGAGGGCTTCTAGTGTCCTGGCCCCACTGCTGGACCTCCTGATGGCACCTGGCATTTTTGACCACTGTGTGAGAGTGTTGGACAGGATGGGCCATTGGCCTGATCCAACACTGGTTTCTCTTATGTTCAAGTCGGCGCATCTTTTCTGCTGCCAGCTAAACTGCCTTTCCCCCAATTTTGTAGTGCAAACAACAAATATACTTGCCCCCAAGCTTAATGCTAATTTCCTTCTTCAGTTTTGCCCCATATCTCGTGCTTGATATGGACTGTCCACCCACCCTGTTTTTTAAAACCCTCTCCCTTAAAAAATAAAAAAACAGCTAGAAACACCACTTTTATGTTTATGTTTATGCATTCAAAAGCTTGTTCATTATTTTATTTTTCCTCTACAGTGCAGCCAGACTTTTAAAGTTTGAAAACCTGTTCTAGGGAAACTGAGCACAATTATGACCTTATAGGCCTAGGTAGATTTGTGATGCCATTAAGTGCCTGACAATAACTACCATCTACAGCCAACTTCTGCTGCCAGCTGGTTTCCCCTGAGCTTGATCTTGGAAAGAAAACTGTAGGCCTGACCAAAAATGGTGAGTGAGCTTCCACAGTGGTCCTAATACAGACAGGACAGAGATCAAACAGCAGATTTCAGGAACTCGGGAGTCAGAGAAAGGAGATTTTATGTGTGAATGGAAATGGGTCCATAACGAATGAAAAATATTTTTAAAAGACTCTAAGTGAGGAAAATGAAATGTTGTTTTTGCAAATACTAACTAGAGTAAAATAACTCTAGAGAGATAATTTGAATTTTCTTTACCAAGGTTTTTTTTTGTTTTGTTTGTGCAAAAGGAAGCTACTATTAATGCGGATGTCTTTGGGTTATTTTCCATTCTATAATAAACAAGACTTTCCTCTGGTCAATGATGGGGGAGAAAAGAAGAAGAAGAAAAGAGATTGTACCCAAAGGAGTCTCAGAGCGACTTACAAACTCCTTTCCCCTCCCAACAGACACCCTGTGAGGTAGGTACGGCTGAGAGAGCTCTGACAGAAACTGCTCTTTTTCAAGAACAGCTGTGCCAGAACTATGGCTTGCTCAAGGTCATCCAGCAGGTGCAAGTGGAGGAGTGGGGAATCAAACCCGGTTCTCCCAGATTAGAGTCCATGCACTTAACCACTACACCAAACTGGCTCTTCAATGGAGTTACTGATCTTAAAATGAGTTAGGAAATATTTGGTATTCTCTATCAATTCAAATCAAATCAAGGGTCTAGATTTGATAGATAGTGCCTGAAGAACTATGGACGGAGGTTCGTGACATTGTACAGGAGGCAGCAATCACCACCATCCCAAAGAAAAAGAAATGTAAGAAAGCAAAGTGGCTGTCTGATGAGGCTTTACAAATAGCAGAGGAAAGAAGGAAAGCGAAAGACAAAGGCAAAAGGAAAGAGTGGCCACAGGATTGGAAAAGATCAGTATACATTCCAATCCCAAAGAAGGGCAATGCCAAGGAATGTTCAAACTATCGCACAATTGCACTCATATCACACGCTAGCAAGGTCATGCTCAAGATCCTACAAGCTAGGCTTCAACAGTACGTGGATAGAGAACTACCAGAAGTACAAGCTGGGTTTCGAAGAGGTAGAGGAACTAGAGATCAAATTGCCAACATTCGCTGGATTATGGAGAAAGCAAGAGAGTACCAGAAAAATATCTACTTCTGCTTCATTGACTATGCTAAAGCTTTTGACTGTGTGGATCACAACAAACTATGGCAGGTCCTTAAAGAGATGGGAGTACCAGACCACCTCACATGTCTCTTGAGAAACCTGTATAAGGGCCAAGAAGCGACAGTTAGAACCGGATATGGAACAACTGATTGGTTTAGCATAGGAAAAGGAGTACGACAAGGATGTATATTGTCGCCTTGCTTATTTAATATATATGCAGAGTACATCATGC